GAGTAGTGTCTCTTCACTGAGTAGTGTCTCTCCCCACTGACTAGGGTTCCTCCTAACTACCAGTGTCTCTCCCCTACTGAGCAGGTTCTCCCCCACTGACCAGTGTCTGTCCCTACTGAGTAGCCCTCCCCCACTGAGTAGTGTCTCTCCACTGAGTAGTGTTCCCCACTGAGCAGAAAGTGTCTCCACTGAGCAGGCTCCACGTCCCTACTGACTACAGGTGCTAGTGTCTCTCCCCACTGACTAGTGTCTCTCCCCACTGACTAGTGTCTGTGCACTGACTAGTGTCTACTTCTCTACAGAATGGTGTCTTTTGTTCTCAGGACATGAATCTTATTGGATTAGGGCTCCATGCTTATGACCTAATTTAACTTTACCTCCTAAAGGTTCTAACTCAAAATATAGTGACATTGGGGGTCAGGACTTCAACATATGAATTTTGGGGGAACTCAAATCAGTCTATAGCAAAATGGTATGATAAAAATATTTATTGTAAACAAAGGCAGTTAAGGAGATACCAATAAACTAAGAATCTTGTCATACATAAAACAAAAACCAGAAAGATAGCAAGCACAAATCCAACCACAAAAATTAATAATTAAATATCAATGGACTAAATGATCAAATCAGAAGGTATAGATTATAACAGATCAAAAAACAAGATCTAACCATATGTTGTCTATCAGAGGCACATCATGGATTGAAAGACACAGACAGGCTGAAAACCAAAGGATGGGAAAAGATACACTATACGAACGATAACCAATATAAAAATTGAATGAAGAAAATTCCACCAAAAAATATAAAAAAATTAATTTTTATAATTCCATTATAAAAAGTAATGAAATACCTAGGGCCGGGTGCGATGGCTCATGCCTGTAATCCCAGCACTTTCGGAGGCTGAGGTGGATGGATGGCTCGAGGCCAGGAGATCGAGACCAGCCTGGTCAACATGGTGAACTCCGTCTCTACTAAAATTACAAAAATTAGCCGGGTGTGGTGGTGCACCCCTGTAATTAATCCAAGCTACTCGGGAGGCTGAAGCACAAGAATTGCTTGAACCCAGGAGGCAGAGATTGCAGCGAGCTTAGATGGCACCACTGCACTCCAGCCTGGGTCACAGCAAGACTCCGTCTCAACAACAACAAAAAACAACCTACGTGTAAGTTTATCAAGAAAGTACAAGGCCTGCATAGTGAAAATTACTGAGGATTCTTGAGAGAAACTAAGGAAGCTCTAATCGATGAAGAGACACAGCACATCTATGGACTGAGACAGTTAAAACTGTGAAGATGGCAGTTATCCCCACACTGATGTAGAGATTCAATCAAAATCAAAATACAGGCAGACTTTCTTTGTAGAATTTGACATTATCCTAAAATTTATATGGAAATGAAGAGAACCTGGAATAGGCAAAATTATGTTGACAAATTAGGAAAAAGGTTAGAGGGCTATGCCATCTAATTCCAAAACTTACTGTAAAGCAAAAGTAACCAAGATATTGTGGTATTTGTGAAAGGAGATAATATACTGATCGACAGGGTCCAGAAGAAAGCCCTCACCAGCCGTTCTGCTATGTATTCTCCAGTGTCTCTGTCTCCTTTGTCCTTCTATTGTCGTGATTGTCTTTGTGTTTAACACATGCTTTACAACATCATTTAACAATCCCTCTTGATTTTTCAGCTGTGTTTTTTAGAGTTATGTGTGCTGTGGCTCCATCTCCTCACTCTTCCTTTGTGCTTATTATCCTCTATGTTACATCTATTTGTTGTAACTCCAACAATACAACGTTATAATTGTTGCTTCAATTTTGTGTTTTGTAAAGTAACGAGAAGATAAAAGAAATTAACAATGCAGTCTCTTATTCTCATCCCATAATCACCATTCCCCATGCTCTTCATTCCTTCTAACAGATTGAAGTTACTGTGTGGCATCAGCCTAAATGCCTTCCTTTACGTTTCTTGTAGGGCAGGTCTGTTAGCAATGAATTCTGCTTGTTACTCCATGAATGTATTTAGTCTTCATTTTAAAATGTTAGTTTCACTGGATACAGAATTCCTGGTTGACATTTTAAAAATGCATTTTGAACATGACCATATCTGGGAGGAGTTTAGCAGAAAATACAAACCTCTGAACAAAATAGAAATCTATGAATCTGGCTGGACGCAGTGGCTCATGCCTGTAATCCTAGCACTTTGGGAGGCCGAGGCAGGTGGATTGCCTAAGCTCAGGAATTTGAGACCATCCTGGGCAACATGGCAAAACTACATCTCTAGTAAAAATACAAAAAAAAAAAAAAAATTAGCCAGGTATGGTGGCACACGCCTATAGTCCCAGCTACTTGGGACGCTGAGGCACAAGAATCGCTTGAACCCAGGAGGCAGAGGTTGCAGTGAGCTGAGATTGCACCACTGCACACCAGCCTAGGCGACAGAGCGAGACTCTGTCACCAAAAAAAAAAAAAAAAAGAAATCTATCAATCCATATTGTTATAAATTAGTGAATACATAGAAACCTGAATTGGGTAAAAGAAAAAGCTCTTCTTTATAGTAGAATGACAATTAATACATATAGAAGGAACTGTGGAAATGGAAAAATTGCTATGAGGCAGTCATCAGAGTGGTGGCTGATTGGGGGGCGGGGGGCATGAGGCCGGATGAGGAAAAAGGTATCAGTATCATTTGGACTCTCTCTCCACAAGACACTCATCCATATGGCGGACATAGTGACTGCAGTGAGAAAGCCTGATAGATGCCTGTGTGGTCAGGTGACCAAGGTGAACACCCTCCTGGAGGAATCAGGCGACCACGGTGAACATCCTCCTGGAGGGATCAGGCGACCAAAGTGAACATCCTCCTGGAGGGATTGGGTGACCAAGGTGAACATCCTCCTGGAGGAATCGGGAGACCAAGGTGAACATCCTCCTGGAGGAATCGGGAGACCAAGGTGAACATCCTCCTGGAGGAATCGGGAGACCAAGGTGAACACCGTCCTGGAGGAATCAGGCGACCAAGGTGAACGTCCTCTTGGAGGAGTCAATCCGGTGACTAAGGTTAACGTCCCTGTGGCAGAATGGGTCAACTCTGCTCTGATGTGCGAAGCAGAGCAGTAGCATTTCTGGGGCATTCCTGCCAACAGAGGATGGTCTGGTCTCCTGAGGAAATACCAGACAACCCAGGTTATGGGTCACCCTTCAGAATGTGATGCCTAATTATTGTTCAAAACTATTGAGGACAAGAAACGGAAGTATGAGGAAATGTTCCAGCCCAGAGGAGACAGAAGAGATATTACAGCTGGATGTAGCTCATCTTTCCATGAGATTCTTGACCAGAGGATAGAAACTCTTGGCAACAGCTGATGGGATGGTTGGTAGAGCTGTGTCAGCGTGGACGCCTGGCCTTTGTTAGGACGGTGCTTGTCAGTGTGGACGCCTGGCCTGAGTTGCAGGCGGTCTTGTAGGACTGTGCCGTGTCAGTGTGGACGCCTGGCCTGAGTTGCAGGTGGTCTTGTAGGACTGTGCCGTGTCAGTGTGAACACGTGGATTGCGTTGCGGGTGGTCTTGTAGGACTGTGCCGTGTCAGTGTGAACACGTGGGCTGCGTTGCTATTTTGTAGGACTGTGTTCTTGGTTTTTAGCAGTGCTAGGGCACCAATTGGTAACATGCTCAGTGGTTCAGAGAAATACCAATGATGACAGATAGGGAGCAAATTAACAAAATGTTAACATTTGGGGAAATCTGGGAGGGGAGATATTGGAGTTTTTTTTTTTTTTTTAATACTGTTCTTACAATTTTTTCTGTGTGCTTGAATTATCTTCAAAATAAATTATTAAAAAAACTCATCTTACAACATACCTCAAGATTAACTCCAAAGAATTTGGAAGAAGGTAAACATTAAAAACTACAAGAATTCTATTCTGTGAAAGATAATGTCAAGAGAACAAAAGGACAAGCCACAAAATGGAAGAAAATATTTTCAAGATACATATTTATCTGATAAAGAAACGTCATCAAAAAAAGACTCACAAAAAAGAACTGTCACCCGGGTGCGGTGGCTCAAGCCTATAATCCCAGCACTTTGGGAGGCCGAGATGGGCGGATCACGAGGTCAGGTCGAGACCATCCTGGCTAGCACAGTGAGCAGTCTCTCGCTAAACTTCCCCACTTGCTTGGGGTGAGGCTGGCGGGCGCCTGTAGTCCCAGCTACTTGGGAGCCTGAGGCAGGAGAATGGTGCCACCCATACTCGCCGGGGCGGGGAGCAGTGAGCAAGATCCGGCCACGCCTCAAGCTGGGTGGGAGGACTCCATCTCAGAAAAAAAAAAAAAAAAAAGAAAATATACACAGGAAGGCAGAGAGGCGCATTGGCTCCAAGCCTGTAATCCCAGCACTTTGGGAGGCCGAGATGGGCGGATCACGAGGTCAGGAGATCGAGACCATCCTGGCCAACACAGTGGCTCCAAATCTCTACTAAAAAATACAGAAAAACTCACGAGGTCAGGAGATCGAGACCATCCTGGCTAACACAGTGAAACCCCGTCTCTACTAAAAAATACAAAAAACTAGCTGGGCGCGGTGGCGGGCGCCTGTAGTCCCAGCTACTTGGGAGGCTGAGGCAGGAGAATGGCGTAAACCCGGGAGGCGGAGCTTGCAGTGAGCCGAGATCTGGCCACTGCACTCCAGCCTGGGCGACAGAGCGAGACTCCGCCTCAAAAACAAAAACAAAAACAAAAACAAAAACAAAATATACACAGGACTCTTAAAACTCAACAATAAGAAAACAATACAATTAAAAAATAGGCCAAAATCCTAACAGACACTTCAGCAAAGAAGATATGCAGATGAAAAATCAGCGTAAGATGCTCCTAGTCATATGTTATCAAAAAAACGCAAAATAAAACAGCAAGATACCACTACATACCTATCAGCTGGCCGAAATCCAGAACACTGACATCATCGAATGTGAGCACGTGGAGCAACAGGAACTCTCATTCGTTGCTGGTGGGAATGTGAAAAGCTGCTGCCACTTTGGAAGGTAGTTTGGCAATTTCTTTCAAAACTAAACACCCTCTCACCATCTGATCCAGCATTCACATTCCTTAGTATTTACCCAAAGGAGCTGAAAACATGTCCACACAAAACTCTGGCACATGGACATCTATAGCAGCTTAACTCCTAATTGCCAAAACTTGGAAGCAACCAAGATGCCCTTCAGCAGGTGAATGATAAACTGTGATACATCCAGATAATGGAATATTATTCAGTGACTAAAAAAATGAGCTAGCAAACCATGAGAAGAGATGGAGGAACCGTTAAGTGTGTGTTGCTAAGTGAAAGGAGTCAGTCTAAGAAGCCACATACTGTATAATTCCAACTCTAGGATAGTCTGAAAAAGGGACCATAGAAAGATCAGTGGCTTTCAGGTGTTGGTGGGAGGTGGGGGAGGGATGAACAGGTGGCGCACAGAGGATTTTTAGGGCAGTGGCACTATTCCATATGCCGCTACGATGGCGGATACACATCACTGTGTATTTGTTCAAAGCCATAGAACATACAACGCCTAGAGTGAAGCCTGATGGAAACCACGGACTCCGGGTGACAATGGTGTGTTCATGCAGCATCATCAGTTTTAACACATCCGCTGGTCTGGTGGGGGATGGGGATGGGGGAGCTGTGCATGTGTGGAGTCATGGGATATATGGGAAATCTGTACCTTCCTCTCAATTTTTCTGTGAACCTAAAACTGCTCTAAGAAGAAGTTTAAAAAACCATCCAATTAGAATAAAATGATTTAGGTATGTGGAAAAAACCTCCCAAGCATGAGACTCTATGAATAGATTTGAGTACAGAAAAATATTAAGTCTCTCAAATTTAAAGGTCAAATATAAAATTACAAAGCAAATTGACTAAAAGGTTAATATCCTGCACACCGAGGGGTCCACATAAACGACAAAGGAATAAAGCAGATAATTCATAGAAAAAACACAGAGGAATAAATTTAAAACACTCAGAATCATTAATAGTCACATAAATGCAAATCAAAATTACTATTTCCTTTCAGACTGGCAAAGAGGAAACACAACAGACACAGTGAGTGTTCTGAGCGTGTCCAGGGTGCCTTCAGCTGGGAGAGAAACAAGGTGGCCCTTTGTACCTCAGCACATATTGGAAGCGTTTAGAGAGTTGGTGTGTTCCCTGTGCCTTCCAGAACTGAATGCTAGGAGGAGCATCCAGTGAGGACGGACGTCTATGCAGAAACACGGTGAACCTCTGCAAACGACACACACTCTGGGAACAGGGGGCTTAGACAAGGTCAACCATGGGATGAAACAGAAAGAAGCTGTTAGACGTGGCCCCGTGGAGATGCAGGAGACAGCGTGCGGGGAGATGGCCTGTGTGGGCTGAGGCTGATGTGCGCTGAGGGTTGAGGGAGGGATTCACTTTGAAAACGGACCAGCAATTCAAAGCCAATTACCAGGAAGCAAACCCAGTGACACTATTTTTGTTAAAAACCAAGAGGACATAGAATGCAAAGGAGCCAGTTTTCTCCTGTGACTTGTTACACAGTCATCAGGAGCTTCTGATGGTCACCTGGAACTCAAAAGCTGCACCATTTTGGTAAATATGTAGCCTTCTACACACTGGGTGGAAGGACAACACCCACTTGGGTAGGTTCTGAGAACTTTGATTAAACATGACCTTTCAGGGAATATATATATATATATATATATATATAGTTTGTTTGTTTTTTGAGACGGAGTCTTGTTCTGTCGCCCAGGCTGGAGTACAGCGGCACAATCTCAGCTCACTGCAAGCTCCGCCTCCCGGGTTCACGCCATTCTCCTGCCTCAGCCCCCAAAGTAGCTGGGACTACACGCGCCTGCTACCATGCCCGGCTAATTTTTTGTATTTTTAGTAGACACAGGGTTTCACGGAATTAGCCAGGATGGTCTCAATCTCCTGACCTCGTGATCTGCCCACCTCGGCCTCCCAAAGTGCTGGGATTACAGGCGTGAGTCACCGTGCCCGGCCTCAGGGAATATATTTTAATTGACACGTGTATCGATTTGAGGTAAAGTTATAGGAAATTTTACTTACCCATGCGTCCATCTTGAGGTGGACTAATCACGGAGATTCTCGCAGGGCCGGCTGCTATCTCCGACTAAGAATGCAACAAGAAAACAATGGATAAAATACCAGTATTGCTGCTTACGAGATTCGGACTCCCAGTGTCTGTTAGGAACACATTTCCTGGAACCCCATCTCCCTCATCTTTATCACCCTCTGACAAGTTCCTGTCTAACTTGATTCTGTGTCCATCTCCCAATTCTGCCTGTTGGTGGTAGAAGGGGTGTGGGTGGGTATTATCATTTGATTCCCTCCGTTCCACCAGGGCCTATAACCTATAACGGTGAATGGATAACGGGCTCTACTAGGAATTTTAGGTGAAAAAAACAAAGTCTGCACTGATGTTAAGAGAATGTGAAATCCTGAGTAAATCATTCTTGGGTGCGTAATTTTGTCACCTTGAAGTCCAGATACTGACGGACAGGGTGGAGCTAACGCTGCTCAGAGCTGTGTGTGCTGGGCCCTGCTCTGTGCCCACCCTTCACCCTACCCAGCAACCACGAGGCCGCTGCTGCCACCCTCCCTCCTCAACCCACAGGAACCTGTGAACCCAGAGCTGCCAGCCCAGGTTCTGAGACTGGTGAGGGAGGCTGCTCTGCTCTGAGTCCCTCCTGCCTCTCAGCGCGACCTGCGGCATGGCAAGGTGCTATTTCTAGTCGCTGCCCCTTCCTGGGCTCACTCCTCTGGCTCTCGACTCACTGCTGGCATCTCCTGTTCCCAGGCTCCTTGCCTCACCCCCGCTGGTCCTCAGGTTCTGCCGTCATCAGCTGTGCCCTGCCAAGACCTCTGCTGCCCACCTTCCCGGCTTCTGCCCCTGGCATAGCCATCCCAGAGATCCTTTAATCCACAGGCCTTTCCAGTACACCATGGAAGCCCCTCTGTGTCCTCGTGGCCTCTCGAGCAGCACAGGAGCGCCCTGCTCCGGGGACACTCTCTGCCACACCCTTGGCCCTACTCTGCCAGTCCTCTGCTCCTGCTTGCTGGCAAGACTCTAACCTTGGAAGGATGGACCCCCCCCCCCGGCTTGGCATGGCCCTCTGACCTGCCTGCAGGTCAGCAGTCTCATGGAGCTATCCACTGGGCACATTCCCCATCCACCCGAAGCTCATGACCTCACTCCCACCCCCAACAAGGCAGAATCTTGTGAAACCGGGAGCTTTTGTCTCTGTACCTTCAGCCACTGCCTGCCATCCTGTGAACACCAGACATATTCCTGCCTCATCAGGACAGGCTCCAGGTACTTCTTCTCACCTGCCTGCAGTGCTGCTATGCCATCATTTCTGGATCCTTCCCATCTGCTAGGATGTCTTCAGTATCCAGTTCATCCTAAGAATCCCCTTGACATCACCACCCCTTTGAACTACGTTCCATCTGCTGCTCCTTTTAGAGAAAATCTCCGTAGAGATTCGAGTGCTCGTGTCTTTCCCCGTCCTGGTGCTGTCTGATAGCTGTGAGTTACAGAAGAGAGTGGTGCAAATCTTTCTTGTCCATGGGCCGTGGCAGACTTGGCTGGGCAAGACACTGGTTCCTGCCATGTGGGAGGGGCTGTGTACCCATTGGTGTGTTCACATCTGCATTCCTGGCTGCCTACACACATATTTGCTCTTTGGATTCTCCTTTACACCAGTTTTCACATTTAACTGGTGGTGTATTAGGCCATTCTTGCACTGCGATAAATACCAGAAATTGTGTAATTCTTAAAGAAAAGCGGTTTAACTGGCTCATGCTTCTGAGGGCTGTACAGGAAGCATGGCAGCAGCTGCTTCTGGGGAGGCCTCGGGAGGCTACAATCAGGACGGGAGGCCAAGGGGGAGCAGGCGCATTGCAGGGCAAGTGGGCAAGAGACTGGGGGACAGTGCCACGTGCTTTTAACCAGCCAGATCTCATGAGAATTCGCCCACCACGGCAAAGACAGTACCAGCCATCAGGGATCTGCCCCCATGACCCAAACATCTGCTACCAGGCCCCACCTCCAGCACTGAGGATTATAATTCAACATGAGAGGCCAACAGGGACGAATACCTAAACTATATCAGCTGGTTTCCCTCATTAACTCAAAACTTTTTTTTTTTTTTTTTGAGACAGGGTTTCACTCTGTCATCCAGGCTGGAGGGCACTGGAGCAGTCACAGCTCACTGCAGCCTCAGCCTCCTGGTGGTGATCCTCCCACCTCAGCTTCTCAGTAGCTGGGACTACAGGTGTGCACCACCATGCCCAGCTAATTTTTTGTAGAGATGGGCTCTTGTCATGTTACCCAGGCTGGTCTCAAACTCTTGGGCTCAAGGGATCTGCCTGACTCAGTTCTCAAAGTGTTAGGATTACAGGCGTGAGCTACTGTGACTGGCCAATTCGTAAGTCGAAGGAAGTATGTGAACGGCATTCATTTTGTATTTGTGAGTCATTATTTTACCTTTTCAAAAAGATACGTTAACCCTGGCCAATTTTACATAATAGAAAATCCCATGCTCATTTAAGGTGAACAGATTTATCTGTTAATTATCTTAATTAAGTTAATTAAGAAATTATCCAGCCAAGCCCCACACCGTAGTCAACACTTCCACCTCTGTGTGAAAGCAGACTCTCCCTCGCCTTCTCAGGCACTTTGTCCAGGAGGGTGGGGGCCTTAGGCTCTGCTTCTCCTCCTCCCCAGTGCCAGCAGCCTGAGGTCCCCAGGCCTGGAGCAGCAAGGGCAGAGGAGGAAGGAAAAGAACCAAGCCCCTCTGGGCAGGCCCAGCTGTGTCCCAGGCGCTCTCATGGGATGGCACTGGCTTTGTTTCTCCAAGTCCACCCAATGACAGACACTTGCACTGTGGCCCTCCCTCTGATGAGCCTTTGGGGCAGGAACCCCACCAAGAGCACCCCCGATAACGCTCTTTCCTATGCAGCCCTGAACAGTGTGGGAGGTTCACCTCGAGAGGCCTGCACACTGCTCTCCGCAGGCCAGAGAAGACCTCGGTCTGCAGAGGCAACAGGTGGTGTCCCCAGAACCTCTGCTCAGGCTGAGGGTTACCAGGAGCATCTCTCACTCTACGCAGTCATGTGGGGCAGTGAGGACGGGAGCTCCTTCCAGAGGAACTGCTACACACATCCACTCCGGAGTGACAAGGCGTTTCAGGAGGTGAAAAACTGGTTTTAGACACTTTCCTTGAAATTTGCATTCTGGTGTGGCACAGGGGTTGGCAAACTATGGCCCACAGCCTGTTTTTGTTAATGAAGTTTTATTAGAACACAGTCATGGTCATGCCATTAGCTTCCGTACTTTCTATGGTTGCTTTTGCAATTCCATGACAGAGTTGAGCAGCTGTGATGGACTGTCTGGTCTGCAAAGTCCAAATGTTTTACTATCTGGCCCTTTACAGAATGTGTGTGCTGGTCGGGCGCGGTGGCTCACACCTGTAGTCCCAGCACTTTGGGAGGCTGAGGTGGGCGGATCACGAAGTCAGGAGTTTGAGACCAGCCTGACCAATATGGCGAAACCCCGTATCTACTAAAAATACAAAAATTAGCCGGGCATGGTGGTGCGCACCTGTAGTCCCAGCTACTCAGGAGGCTGAGGCAGGATAATTGCTTAAACTTGGGAGGCGGAGGTTGTAGTGAGCCGAGATCTTGCCACTGCACTCCAGCCTGGGCGACAGAGTGAGATTCTCAAAAACAAACAAACAAACAAACAAAAATCACAAAAACCTGCCCCCCCACCAAAAAAAACCAAAGAAAACGTGTGCCCATGTCTGGTCTTTGCCCCTCACCTAGGAACTCTGATTCATTACATTCTGGTTCCTCAGCAATAATTTCCAACAGTAACACCCAGTAAAGTGTCAATCAATTTAGCCTGCCAGTCTTTTCTTTCTTTTAGAGACAGGGTCTCACTATGTTGCCCAGGTTGGTTTTAAACTCCTGGGCTCAAGTGATCCACCTGTCTTGGCCTCCCAAAGTGCTGAGGTTACAGGCGTGAGCCCGAAGTGCCTGCTGCCTGCCAGTCTTGAGTATTCTCTATTCTCGTCAATTACTCAGATCCTAAGGAAAGGTAGAAAGTTGACCTGACAGAACCAAGTTCTTCCTCCTTAAGCTGTGGGGACTTGGAGGCTGTGAGTTCATCCATTAAACAAGGTCCTAGTGCACCAAAAGACAGCTGGAAGCAGGTGTCCAGCCTTGGGGGAGCCAAGGCAGGTGGTAGGGACCTACAGGGACCCAGGGGAGGGTTCCATAAGAGCTTCCAGCAGGGCCTGAGGGGGCAGGTGGCGTGCTCGGTGTGGGCCAGTTGCGTCGGGACACGGGCACCCAAGAGGCAGTGTCCCTCTGGAAGCACGGCTCCAGTGCTGCCGATGTGTATGGGTGTGGCCATGAGGATGGAGGAGGTGAGCTGGGCAGGGAGGGACATGTGTGCTTGACCCAATTGCCAAGGAACTGGCGTTTCTCTTTCACCGAAGCTGTGGTGGCTCTTCATTCCCTACGGAATGCAGTTCCGCCTTCTTTTTTTTTTTTTTTTTTTTTTTTTTTTGAGACGGAGTCTCGCTTTGTCGCCCAGGCTGGAGTGCAGTGGCCGGATCTCAGCTCACTGCAAGCTCCGCCTCCCAGGTTTACGCCATTCTCCTGCCTCAGCCTCCCGAGTAGCTGGGACTACAGGCGCCCGCCACCTCGCCCTGCTAGTTTTTTGTATTTTTTTTTTTTAGTAGAGACGGGGTTTCACCATATTAGCCAGGATGGTCTCGATCTCCTGACCTTGTGATCCGCCCGTCTCGGCCTCCCAAAGTGCTGGGATTACAGGCTTGAGCCACCGCGCCCGGCCTAGTTCCGCCTTCTTATCCTGACTCCAGGTTCCTCCATCATCTGGCTCTGAGTGGGATTACTCATGTCACAGGGCTGCTAGGACGACAGAGTTCGTATCTATAAAGGCTCGGAACAGTGTTTGCCAATGAGCCACACTGTGTCGCACAACACGAAGCAACATATAAACCAAATAAGCCAATCACTGGCACTGGAACACAGGCATTCACCGCCGCCAGAACCCACTCGGTTTTCCTGCCTTTGCTCCTTGGCCCCCTCCTGCCCCACATGCTTAAGTCCTGATCCCTCCCATAGGGTGCAGTTCACTGCCCTGAGTCCTTCCCAAACTGCCTTCTCTCTCCTGTTTCTGAGCCACCTGGTGTGTGGCCGCTGTGCATCTGGTGCTGAGCTCTGCTGACCCAGGCAGACGACGGGAGAGCAGGGACTGGACTCTCCCTGAGTTCCGGGCAGGTTTCCTCTGGTCTTGCTTCTCTCCAGCTTGAAGTTGGTGCTTCCTGTTTCCCAGAATCCTTAGCTTTTCTGACCCATTTCTCTTCCTGGGCTGACAAAGTTTACTATTGTCTTCTTCGGCACTGTTTGGCACTTCATGAGACAGCAACTGAAGGCAGGTAAAGCACAGGGCCACCAGCTTTGCTGTCATTTCTCTTTGACACCAACAGGGACCAGCACGGGACCAGCATGGGAACAGCAGAGGATCAATGCAGGATCAACCCAGAACCAACATGGGACCAACACAGGGTCAACACAGGACCAACATAGGGTCAACACAGGACCAACACAGGGTCAACACAGGACCAACACAAGATCAACACAAGACCAACACGGGACCAACACAAGGTCAACATGGGACCAACACAATGTCAACACAGGACCTACATAGGACCAACACAGGATCAACACAGGGTCAACGCAGGACTAACACAGGATCAACACAGGACCAACACAGGGTCAATACAGGACCAACATGGGACAAACAAAGGGTCAACACAGGACCAACATGGGACCTGCACGGGAACATAGGACCAACACAGGGTTAACATAGGACCAACACAAGGTCAACACAGGACCAACACAAGGTCAACACAGGGTCAACACAGGACCAACACAAGATCAACACAGGACCAACATAGGACCAACACAGGGTCAACACAGGACCAACATGGGACCTGCACAGGAACAACACAGGACCTGCGTGGGACCCTGCCACACTCCGTCTGTATTTGCTTTTGTTTCTCCAGATGCAACTGCAGTCCCAGCCATTCAGGCAGAACAGCAGTGTTCTCATGACCCAGCTTACAGCCACAGCCCACCCCTCTCACCCACGGGGCCAGCACGTGATGCAGGAGCCAGCACATGACGCAGGGGCGCTGTGCAGTCTGTCTACTGTTGCATGAGCAGTGATATTTTTCAGTACTGAGGAAAATGGGCAATGCCACATGTCTGGTACATGGGAAATGAGGAACTCGGCAGGAGAGCTGTACTCACTTTTCTAATCGGAGAAGGAGAGAGATCAACTTCCATTGACTCCAGTCTGTTAAACACACAGTGAAAGGCTTTGAGTGAGCCCAGGACTTACCCATAACATCAGTTGAAATACACACAAGACAAGACCATGCATAAATGTCTAAATCTTCCTCTAGCTTTGTGCTGCAGCCAGAGTTGAGCCACTTAGGCATCTGATCACTGCCATTTCCCTCCCTCTTTAGGGCCACCCGCCGTCTGTACTGGGATGTAGCCTCTCCAGGACACAGAGGTCACTGGCCAACCTGCCCTGGCTGGGCTCTCCCTGACATGCCTCTCTTGTACCTCTGCACACTTGGCTTCTCCCTCCAGACCACCCCTTCTCTTCTCTCTGCCAACGCCTGCCTGGAGTCTGCTGGACTAGGACGTCCTGAGAGTGGGATCCCGAACTGACTTCTGTTATCACTCGCTGCCTGGCCACACATACCACACCGTGCATGCTCACTACAGACTAGTTCCTTCATTTGCCAAAGGGAGACAGGAAAACACTGGATTCATTTTGCATTGGCCCCCTCCTGGCCCTGCCATCCTTATGGCTCTCGATCTCTGCAGAAAGAGGCTCACTCTTTTCCAACAGCTCCAGCAAGAGTCCCATGGATGACTCCCATTAGTCCAGCCTGGCTGGAGTGAATTTTTCTAATTTTAGGTGGCCTCAGCAACAATTTTGAAGACAGGTTTAACTTTCTCATACCAGAGGCAGGGCTCAGTCACCTTCAACAGTTTTCAGTTCTCCACCAGCTCCCAGTGCCTCAGTGTGGTCCATCCGGACACTTGCCTCCCAGTGGCCGCCTCCCTGTGGGAGGGTGGACAAAACCCACTTGGCTGGTCCCGCTGACCCCTCACCCTGCACGGACCATGCAGATGTGCCACAGTGATGCCCTCAGTCACAATGGGACCTGTAGAGCTCGTGCCTGCCTGCTCTAAACCCACCAATTAAAACTCCCCACGAGAAACTTGCCTGGATGATGCCCTGAGCCTCAATAAAGGTGCTGGCCCACGGGGCCCCCCTCTTTGCCTGACCCTTCTTTCCTGCTCTTGCTACCTGTGGACACAGCACTGTCCTCCCCACGCATGGCACCCTCCCCATCCAGGACCTGTAAGTAATAAATCTGAGTGTGTTTCCTTTCACAGGGGTGGACTGAATTTCTGCCTTGCATCTGAAGAGCTAGGAGCTACCCTAGGCCGGGTTTTCTCTGGGACACTGGAGGGAATATGAGGTTGGGCTCCCTTTGCCAGAGTGATGGCCCGGCAGGCATAGCCTGGAGACGGGGCAGACACAAGCCACAGGGCATCTGCCAGTACGAACGTTTCCTGTGTGAGGGACCCCCAGCCATGGGTTGGGTAATGGGTTCAGGCCATCCACCAGGTGAAAGGATTCCATGAAAGGCACCAGGTCAGCCCCTTAATTTCCTGTTAGGGCAGGGCTGTCAGCTGCCGGACACTGGATCCCCAGTTTAGCTGGGGGGGGGAGGGCATGTAGAACACTGGGTCACATGATCATTCCCAGACCAATCACTGTGGCTGCAGGGATGGAGTGCTCTGATTGGCCAGCCTGGATCACACACTTAGTTTGGGACCTGAGCCTCACAGGGATATGAAATAAGTACCAAAATGAGTTGATGTCCAGTCAATTGTCTGGACTAGCAAAACCTGGGGGCTTGGAGGGGGATGGAGTTGGGATGGGAAGGGACGTGCAGAAGCGGAGAGACCTGCGGGCCCTGTGATTTCTGCGAGCGACCCACGCACCTGTCGGGGGTTGATGAGTGAGGTGGCAGCAGGCATCCGTATGGCTTTGCTGGAAGAGTGATGACGAAAATGCCAACGTCAGTGCACACAGTGTGATTCAGCAACATGTATCTCTATTTTGTTCTCTTTCTGGAATGATTTTACTTACTTGAAACTGAACTTTTTATTGTGCTGAAAGCTGTTTGTTGTGATGATCTCATACTAAATAGATGGAGAAAAGGTATTGAATTAAACCATAAAAACTGATGTCCCCCCAGGTCATTCCAACTGAAAGTGTAAGAAGGCTCTGATATCAGCGAAATGTTCTTACTGGGTTTGCAAAGGGCATTTCACAGGAATTCAGCGGTTCCCAAAGCGTCCTGTGAGTCCCACGGCCCTGCTCCTCCCCAGCACGGAAGCCAAGTGAACTCAACACTCACTGCCGTTTACATCACTGGCTCTTGCAACTACAACTGTCACTCAGCACACGGCCACCGCTGGTGTTAAAGCTGTGAAATGAAGACCTGAATGCACAACAGGAGCCACTAACGCACCAGCTTTGAAAGGCCACTAAGAGGCCAGCCATGGTGCCTCCTGTCCGTCATCCCCACACTCTGGGAGGCAGGGGTGCGAGGACTGCTTGAGCCCAGGAGTTGGAGGCTGCAGTGAGCTGTGATTGTACTACTGCACTCCTGCTTGGGCGAGAGAGCAAGAACTCGTCTCAAAAAAGGAAAAGGAAGGGGAAAGGAAAGGGAAAGAAAAAAGATAAGAAAGAAAAACAGGCCAGCAAGAGAAATATGGACAAGTCACTTGGTCACGTTTTCTGGTCTAGCAACCCTGGACTGATCTCCATGATGGCCAGTAGCAGAGACCGCCTGCTGTGTCCCATGACTCCCGGCCACAGAAGGCTGCTGCACCTGGGTCCTCTCTGCCTCACGGGGCCTGGTGGACATGCTGAGATGCACGTGTAAGACTGGGGGAGCGTGTCTGTTTCCGCAGACACACTGTTTCTGTGGACGCACTGAGGTGCATGACTGCAGATGAGGGTGGGGCTGTCTCCTGGCACCGAGTGCCCATCTATGCTGGCCGGGTTTTGAGATGCGAACAGTCTGCCCTCAGCAATTTCAGTTCGGGACCAAGCTAGCTAGGAATAGGCAGTTGTGCAACAGCTCAACCACTCGGGCCTCCGCTGTGCAGTCACCTGCTAGAGCCCACCCTGGCACTGCCCCTCAACCTCCTCACCCAGAGTCACCTATCCCGACAGCCTGTGTCCCGGCCTGACATACAAGTTCACTTTCTGCCTCTTCTCCCCCAACACAGAAGCTCCCAGAGGACTGGCACTTGGCTCGCTTGGCTTACTCTGAATTGCCAGACCACAGAACAGCGCTGAGAATGCACCTGGTGCTCAGTAAACACTGGCTGTTGCGTGGCTGACTGTGGTGGGTGGAAGTACCTGACCTTCTGCGTCTGGCAGGGCTGTGGCCTGGCTCCTCTGCAGGTCACTTGCTCCTGCTTCCAAACCACTCTAAAACGCACTTTGTTTCGTGGGAACAAGAGGACGATGACAAAAACGACGACGACAACAAAAGTGGGTAGCGTGAACGCCACCACAGTGAGGCTGGGCAAGACGGGGTCGGGGGCAGTGGTCTGGGGCGGGTCAGCTGGGCTCGCAGAGCACACGGGAATCCTCTCTGGAGGAAAATGCAGGCGATACCAGGTATGTAGGGAGTGGGACTGACCTGTGCAACCTCACCAGAGATCAGCAGAAACACACCTCCTCCAGCAAGAGTGGAAGAAAAGAAGGCAGATTTGGATTCCTGAGGGTATCAGGTAAGGAAAATAAAAAGGCTGCCTGTGAGATGACTACATAAAAGACGAAGATGCAACAATGAGCAAAGATTATTTTCCAAATGGTGAAATGAGCAGGGATGTTCTAGAAATGTTAACTGTAATGGACAGAACAAAAACTCAATGGGGGCCGGGGGCGGTGGCTCACTCCTGTAATCCCAACACTTTGGGAGGCCCAGGTGGGCGCATCACCTCAGGTCAGGAGTTCAAGACCAGCCTGGTCAACATGGTGAAGCCCTGTCTCTATTAAAAATACCCCGTCTCTACTGAAAATTAGCCGGGCATGGTGGTGGGCACCTGTAGTCCCAGCTACTCCGGAGGCTGAGGCAGGAGAATTGCTTGGACCGGGAGGCGGAGCTTGCAGTGAGTTGAGATTGTGCCACTGCACTCCAGCCTGGGTGACAGAGTGAGACTCTGTCTCAAAAATAAACTCTCAGTGGGGTTCACTGGCTTAATTTGAAAATCCGGGAGCTGGAAGAAGCAACCAGCATGTGACCAGGTGGCCTAAGACGACGGAGATCACAGCAGAGGCTGATGTGGAGGGCAGGGAGCTGCAGGCCATGGCCGGGGATGCAGAGGGTACTACTTGAAAAGATAATGGGCAGGAATTTTACAGAATTGATGCAAAACACAAATCCACAGAATGAAAGAAAATTATATACCAAGAAGGAAAAAAATGAAAGTAACTCCACACTTTGATGCATTTTTTTTTTTTTTTTTTTTTTGAGAGAGTTTTGCTCTTGTTACCCAGGCTGGAGTGCAATGGCATGATCTTGGCTCACTGCAACCTCCGCCTCCCAAGTTCAAGAGATTCTCCTGCCTCAGCCTCCTGAGTAGCTGGGATTACAGGTATGCACCACCACATCTGGCTAATTGTGTATTTTTTTAGTAGAGATGGGGTTTCTCCATATTAGTCAGGCTGGTCTCGAACTCCCGACCTCAGATGATCTACCCACCTTGGCCTCCCAAAGTGCTGGGATTACAGGCGTGAGCCACTGCGCCCGGCCCCTTTGATGCATCTTAAGTATCTGCCTTTCCTCTTGAGATGCTTTAAAGGAGGAATCTGCAAATGGGGCTACCTAGTAAATGTAGGAGGCTTTGCTGTCCACATAAAGTCTCTGTTGCAATGCATTTACAATCTTCTAAAAATGTAAAAGCCATGCTCAGTTTGGAGGCTACATGAAAATACGCTGTGGCCGGGTGCAGTGGCTCATGGTGGCCATTGCAGCACTTTGGGATGCTGAGGTGGGAGGATCACTTGAGCTCAGGAGTCCAAGACTAGCCTGGGTAACATAGTGAGACCCCATCTCCACAAAAAATAAAAAAATTAGCTGGCTGTGGTGGTGCATGCCTGTGGTCCCAGCTACTTGGGAGGCAGAGGCAGCAGAATCACCTGAGTCTGGGGAGGTTGAGGCGTGAGATGAGATCACACCACTGCACTCCAGCCTGGGTGACAGAGGAAGACCCTGTCTCAAAAAAAAAAAAAAAAAAAAAAAAAAAAAAGCAAAGGAAAGGAAGGAGGAGAGAATACACTGCAGGCTGGATTTGGCCTGGAGTTTCCTTGCTGACACCTGGAACATACCCTTCACAAGACAAGCCTGTGGTAATTCTTAGAACCCAAAATAACGACAGGGGAAAGAAGCCCTTTTCACCAGAGGCCATCAGAACCTCATGTCAGGAGCAGGGCCACCAGCCAGTGTGACTGGCGTCCCCAGCTTCCCTCCGGCCCCACGGCCCCAGTGAGGCTATGCCATGCTCAGCTGCCTGACACAGCAGGGAGGCGGGCACCTACACACACGCTGGAGGCTCACCCACTCCTACACACACGGCCAATGGGAGGCAGACAGGGCTCCTGACTCCTCGACTTTCCCGTTGGTGTGCAGCCACCAAACAGCAACTTTTTTTTTTTTTTTTTTTTTTTTTTTTTGAGACGGAGTCTTGCTCTGTCGCCCAGGCTGGAGTGCAGTGGCCAGATCTCGGCTCACTGCAAGCTCCGCCTCCCGGGTTCACGCCATTCTCCTGCCTCAGCCTCCCGAGTAGCTGGGACTACAGGCACCCGCCACCTCGCCCGGCTAGTTTTTTGTAATATTTAGTAGAGACGGGGTTTCACCGTGTTAGCCAGGATGGTCTCGATCTCCTGACCTCGTGATCCACCCGTCTCCGCCTCCCAAAGTGCTGGGATTACAGGCTTGAGCCACCGCGCCCGGCCTAAACAGCAACTTTTGACTATTCAACATATCTCATAAAATCTAAGGCATCACCGAGTGTAAAATGTGCAGCATCTGTGTATCACTGTGGTAACTGAACTCTGGCTGTTATTGAATCCAAATTCCAGAAACACTGACTGCAGTAAAAGCGCATTCAGAGCAGAGGCAATATGGCAAAGGCACAGGTGAGCTAAAATGTACAAGAAAGGAGGCTTTCAAATGGCTAGATTTTCCAGATACTGAAATGTAATGCTTTAAGTCTCCATTTTGGTTAATCCTAGCAACTCTGGATGTTTCTCCCTAAGATGCATCACCCATTCACAGCAGTGCCTTTAGACACAGAACTTGCCACATATATGTACCTTCTGCAAACGGCTACAACTCCTGGCAGAAAGCAGGCCGCCAGGCTGCAGGTGGAGTCCCGCAGTCCCTGGCCGCAGGGCCACCCTGCCTGTGCTGGGTCACTCTGGAGAGGCCGAGGGTGCCTGCTATTCTCCCAGGCCCCTCCCACTGCCTCAGGAATCACTGGGGCAGCTGCCCTAAGGGGAACCATTCATGTCTTTTTCACTTTTTCTTTTTTGTCTCCCTTCTTCCCTTTGGTTTTCCCACAGCATTTTTGCTCTGACAAAAGTTTCAGGTAAATGAACGAGCTCTTCCCTCTGCATCTGAGGTCATCTTTCTTTCTTCATCTTGGAGAGTCAGACCAATGCACGTGGCAGTGGCTGCCCCCACTGCGCACTCACAGCGGGTCGGGGCGGGGGCTTACCTTTGCAGCTGCTCTATCTGCAGCACCGACTTCCTAAGGGATTCTTCCAACCTAGAAATCTAAACATAATTGCACAACCTCTTGTTATTAGACAGGCTGTGCTGAGCGACACTGTGACCCTCTAAATTTCTTAAACCATGAATCAGAATGTGGGTTACTCTGCATGGAGTTGCCCTCATGCTGCTCATGAGTAAATCTGCCTGGAGTCCGGTCCATCAGGTACTTAGGAAATTGGCCTTAGGGGCCATGCACAGCTAAGTCAAACTGAAGCCCCAGGAGACAAATTTCAGCGCTGCACTCTCCACAAGCCGACATGATGCGAATTCAGTGTCAGCCCTTCCAGGGGAGCACCCAGCCTCAAAGTCAGACACAAGCACCTTTTCCACACACGGTCACTGCCAGGTCATCTCACAGCACAGCCTCTGCTGTCAGGCTGGAACCCCGCCATGTGTGTGGGAGCTGCCAGACCCGAGGGAGTGACTGGAGTCTAGGATCCCACTGTCCAGTCTGTAATCATGGCTCATGCCCATCCTTGAGGTTTGCTGGGAGGATGTGGAGACAACAGACACAAAATATAACAAAAGCTAAGCCCAGGCCGGCTCCTGCAAGAAGCTTCCAGGCAGGGTTTTGGGTGGTTGTCGAGTAACATGGGGCTGTGGTGGGCCTGGGAGGGGTAGGGGAAAGAGGATGGCATGGAGGTGGCAGGACAGGGGTGGGGGTGAGAGGATGGGGTGGGGGAGAAAGGATGGGGTAGGGGTGAGAGGATTGTGTGGGGGTGAGAGGATGGGGTGGGGGTGACAGGAAGGGGTGGGGTGAGAGAGGATGGGGTGGGGGTGGAAGAACAGGGATGGGGTGAGATGATGGGGTGGGGGTGAAAGGATGGGGTAGGCATGAGAAAATGGGGTGGGGGAGAGAGGATGGGGTGGGGGTGGAAGGACAGGGTGGGGGTGAGAGGATGGAGTAGGGTGACAGGATGGGGTGGGGGAGAAAGGATGGGATAGGGGTGAGAGGATGGCATAGGGCTGGAAGGACAGGGGAGAGGATGGAGTAGGGTGACAGGATGGGGTGGGGGAGAAAGGATGGGATAGGGGTGGGAGAGGGGATGGCATAGGGCTGGGAAGGACAGGGGGGTGGGGTAAGAGGATGAGGTGGGGTGAGAATGGATGGGGAAGAGAGGAGAGGATGGGGTGGGAGAGAGAGAATGGGGTGGGGGAGAGAGTGGTGGGGGTGGGGGGTAAGAGGAAGGTGGAAGGGGTGGGGGAGAGAGGATGGGATGGGGGAGAGAGGATGGGATGGCGGAGAAAGGATAGAGTCGGAGACAATGGCATGGGGGTGGCAGGACAGGAGTTAGGGAGAGTGGATGGGGTGGGAGTGAGAGGATGGGGTGGGGGAGAGAGGAAAGGGTCGGGGAGAGACAGTGGCATGGGGGTGGCAGGACAGGAGCTGGGGAGAGTAGATGGGGTGGGGAAGAGAGAATGGGGTGGGGTGAGAGGATGGGGTAGGGGAGAGAGGATGGGGTCGGGGAGAGATAATGGGGTGGGGGTGAGAGGATAGGGTGGGGGAGAGAGGATAGGGTGGGGGAGAGACAATGGCATTGGGGGTGGCAGGAGAGAAGTGGGGGCGAGAGGATGGGGTGGGGGTGACAGGATAGGTGGGGTTGCCAGAATGGGGTGAGGGTGACAGGGTGGGGTGACAGGATGTGGTGAGGGTGACAGAACCAAGGTGGGGAGTGACAGGATGAGGTGGGGGTGACACGACAGGGGAGAGGCTGACAGGGTGGGTGTGACAGAAGCAGGGAGGGGGTAATAGGATGGGGTAAGGGGGTGACAGAATGGGATTGAGAGGTGACAGAATGTGGTGGGGGTATGATATGGTTTGGCTGTGTCCCCACCCAAGTCTCATCTCAAATTGTAATCCCATGTGTCAAGGGAAGAATCTGGGGGAGGTGACTGGATCATGGGGGTGGTTCCCCCATGCTGTCCTCATGACATTGAGTTCTCACGAGATCTGAAGATTTAAAAGTGTTTGGCAGTTCCCCTCACCCCCTCTCCTGCCGCTAAGTAAGATGTGCCTTGCTTCCCCTTTGCCTTCTGCCATGATTCTAAGTTTCCTGAGGGCTTCCCAGCCACGCAGAATTGTGAGTCAACTAAACCCCCTTCCTTTATAAATCAACCAGTCTCAGGTAGTTCTTTATAGCAGTGTGACAATGGACTAATACAGAAAATTGGTACCGGTAGAGTGGGGCACTGCTATAAATATATCTAAAAATGTGGAAGCAACTTCGGGACTGGGTAATGGACAGAAGTTGGAACAATTTGGAGGGTTCAGAAAAAGACAGAAAGGTGTGAGAAAGTTTGGAACTTCCTAGAGATTTGTTGAATGGTTTTGACCCAAATGTTGACAGTGATATGGATGGTGAAGTTCCAGTTGAGGAGGTCTCAGATGGAGATGAGGAATTTATTGGGAACTGGAGCAAAGGTCACTCTTGCTATGCTTTAGCAAAGAGACTGGAGGCATTTTGCTCCTGCCCTCGAGATCTGTGGAACTTTGAACTTGAAAGAGATGACTTAGGGTATCTGGCAGAAGAAATTTCTGAGCAGCAAAGCATTCAAGATGTGACCTGGCTTCTTCTGAAAGCATACAGTCATGTAAGTGTTCACAAAGAGATGATCTGAAATTGAAACTTCTGTTTAAAAGGCAAGCAGAACATAAAAGTCTGAAAAAATTGCAGCATGACCATGCAGTAGAAAAGAAAAACCCATTTTCTGGGGAGAAATTCAAGCTGGCTGCAGAAATGTGCGTAAGTAACGAGGAGCCAAGATGGTGGAGAACATGTCTCCAGGGCATGTGAGAGATCTTCACAGCAGCCCCTCTCGTCATAGGCCCAGAGAGAAAATAGTAGTTTTATGGGCCAGGCCAAGGTCCCCTACCCAACTCTTGTGCAGCCTCAGGACATGGCGCCCTGTATCCCAGCCGCTCTAGCTCCAGCCATGACTAAAACGGTCCAATGTACAATTTGGGCTGCTGCTTCAGATGGTGCAAACCCCCCAAGCAATGGCGGTTTCCATATGGTGTTGGACCTGCATGTGTGCAGAAGACAAGAGTTGAGGTTTGGGAACCTCCACCTAGATTTCAGAAGATGTATGGAAATGTCTGGATGTCCAGGCAGAAGACTGCTGCAGAGGCAGAGCCCTCACGGAGAACCTCTGCTAGGGCAGTGCAAAAGGGAAATGTGGGGTGGTTGCTCCCACACAGAGTCCCAACTGGGGTGCTGCCTAGTGAAGCCGTGAGGGCCACTGTCCTCCAGACCCCAGAATGGTAGATCCACTGACAGCTTGCACTGTGTACCCAGAAAAGCTACAGGCACTCAACCCCAGCCCAGAAAGCAGCCACTGGGGCTGTACCCAGCAGAGCCACAGTGGTGGAGTTGCCCAAGGCCTTGGGAGCTCCCTGACCCTTGCATCACCATGTCCTGGATGTGAGACATTGGATAAGAGGAGAAATTTAAGATTTAATGGCTGCCCTGCTGGGCTTTGGACTTGCATGGGGCCTGCAGCCCCTTTGTTTTGGTCAATTTCTCCCACTTGGAATGGGAACATTTACCCAATGCCTTTACCCCCATAGTATCTTGGAAGTAACTAACTTGTTTTTGATTCTACAGGCTCACAGGTGAAAGGAACTTGCCTTGTCTCAGATAAGACTTCGGGCTTGAACTTCTGAGTTTATGCTGGAATGAGTTAAAACTCTGGGGGACTGCTGGGAAGGTATGATTGTGTTTTGAAATGCGAGAAGGATATGAGATTTAGGAGGGGCCAGGGGTGGAATGATGTGGTTTGGCTCTGTGTCCCCATCCAAATCTCATTTTGAATTGCAATCCCCATGTGTCAAGGGAGGGACCTGGTGGGAAGTGACTGGATCATGGAGGCAGTTTCCCCCATGCTGTTTTTGTGATAGTGAGTTCTCATGAGATCTGATGGTTTAAAAGTATTTGGCAGTTCCCCCTGCCCTCTCTCCTGCTGGTATGTAAGACGTGCCTTGCTTCTCCTTTGCCTTCCGCTATGATTATAAGTTTCCTGAGGCCTTCCCAGCCATGTGGAACTGTGAATCAATACAACCTCTTTCCTTTATAAATTACTGAATCTCAGGTAGTTCTTTATAGCAGTGTGAAGACAGACTGATACGGGGTGACAGGACAGGGTGGGCGTGAGGGGTGACAGGATGGGATGGGGGTGATAGCATGGGATGGGGTGATGGGACAGGGTGGGGGTAGCAACATGGTGTGAGTGGTGACAGGATGGGATAAGGGTGACAGAATGGGATTAGAGGTGACAGGACAGGGATGGGGTAACAGGATGAGGTGACAGGATAGGGTGAGGGGTGAGATGGGGGTGACAGGACAGGGCAAGGTGACAAGACAGGGTGGGGTAACAGGATGAAAGGGGTAAGGAGGGGGTGACCAGCTGGCAAGCAGGGCCAAGGGTGCTCTGTCCGCTCCAGGTCTGGGTGTACATAGAATGTTCATGCACAGACAGGAAGCAACAAGGTCACACACTGGCTTCCGTACTCAGGGAATGGCCCCAGGGTCCCTTGTCTTTAAAGCTGGGTTCCTGACTTTACTGACTACATAACCTTCAAAGTTTTTTTAAGAAGGACTTGCTTTTTAAAATGGGATGGTTGAGCAGAGAATCCTTCAAGCTGCCTCCCAAGCTCCCAAGACCCCGATGTCGACCCCAGTGGCTGAGGGGATAAACGTGGCTGGGCAGGGTGGCCCATGTGGTGCTGCACCCAATGGGCTACTTGGTAACTACAGACAAGGGTTGGGCCAATAGGCTGGTCAGAAGGGGACAGTGACAATGTCCCCATAGCTGGAAACACGCAGAGAAACAGATATTGCATCTAGCAGCCTGTCCCCTTTGAGAACAAGGTGTTAACAAGTCTGACATTTAAATCTAAAGGTCAAAATAATTCAGTGACAATGAATCTACTCGACTTACCTTTTCTGTATAGAAGGCTAACAATCTCTTCCTGTGTTTTTCTTGAAATTCTGAAACCTGAAAAGATCATACGTTTCAGCTACTGACACAGGTACATGATCTCTGTGGCTGGAAGTTTTGTTGGGGGAGGAGGCGGCTGGAGGGACTCTCAGAACAGCTCACAGTGCTTGTCTTATGTGTGTCCTGCCCCCACAGACGCCCAGGGCAGACACCCCCCACGGGTGGGCAGAGAAGGTGTGAGTGCCAGCAGGCAGGGCCAAAGGCAAACACAGGGGAGGCTTAACAGGCACGACAGGAAAGTCTCCCCAGCAACCTGCTCCATTCAAGTTGTGCATGGTGCTCCCTCTGGGCCAACCACAGGGTGCTGTCCCTCTGATAACGGCCACTGGTTTGAGGAAGGGCCTCCTGACCAAACAGGGCTGGACCAATGGCAGGGGCAGATGGAAAGAGAGCTGGCACACAGAATGAGGCTAAGCGAGACCCACAGAGCTGGCAGACGCCTAGTGGGCCTGTCTGCACTCCCAGAGCCAGCCATGCCTGACACCAGCACCCTCCCATTTACAGGAGCCCCAGATTCATGTATGCTGTCTAGACAGCTTGAACTGGGTTTCTGAGAGGACCACCAGAAGCAGGAAAGACAGGCCTGTGATTTCCTCAGAGGAAGAGAGAGCTATTTCGTATGAGTCAAGTGTTCAGACAATGGTGCCTACCCTCTGGAAAGACCAGGCTGGAAAGGCCGACAAACAACAGGGCTAACTGTGGCTCCATTGCTACTGAAAGTCAGCATCCTCTAGCTCCATCCCCCACTTCATTCCACCCCACCATCTGTGGTGATAACACAAGCACAAGGGAGCGGCTTGCGTCTGCCCGTGGCTCACTGGCCCAGTGCAAACATAGGGCAGGCGTCTTCCCTTCTGTGGAAAGGCAGGCCCAGCACACGCCAGGCCTTTGTTCCCAACCTCCTCCATGACAGGCCATCTCCAGAGGACGGGGCTGCACAGGGGCCCTCCTACAGGACAGCAGGGATGACAGCCTCGTGGTCTCCCAGCTGCTGCATCCTCGGAGTGACTCGGAGCTCTAGGGTTCTCCCCTACTCGACAAGGGGACCGCGTCTCCACCAAGGAGGGAAGACAGTTTTGGGTACTACGCCATGGGCTATGAAGAGGAGTGGACAGGACTCTGCAGGCTGCCCTGACTCCAGTTCTCGGGCACATCGCAGGCCACGGCCAGGGCACCTTTCCAACCTTTGCCGACACTTCTCAAGTCCTGCTGCCTGTCGGGGACACCTGCAAGCGCCCCTCAAGCCCCGCTCAATTGTGCCTGTGTGGGAAGCTTCTCCAAAGCACCCTCAGCAGGAACATTCCACCCTGCAGGCAAGGGCCTCTGCTCCTCAGCTTCACATGCTTGCGGAGGAACCTACCAGCAGACGTGCCTGATCCCGACTGTGGGGGTGCCCGGTCTGGCTGTTCTCAGAGAAAGGCCTTGGTGACATGAGGTCAGTCTGTGGCTGGCTCTGATTTGGCAGGGCAGGCGTGGCTGCAGCAAGGACTGGGCTGCAGGGCAAGTCTCCAAGGGGACTTGAGCAGCAGATGGGGTGAGTTCAACTGAGCACAGAGCTGGGGAGCCTCACATGAGCTTGGGGGGCAGCCAAGACCCACTTGTCCGGGTGTTGAGGGGTCTACAGCAGCCTCCAGGGCTCCACTAGGGGGAGTCACACAGGCCTGCAGCATCATGCCGCCTTCGCGGTTTATCTGGCCTGGACTCTGACCAATGTTGGGGCCCAGAGACTTGAGACACGGGGTGTGGCCTCAGAAGAGGGTAGATTTTAATACTAAAACAAAGTTTAAAAGTGATGGTGAGTGTTTATCCTGCAGAGAATATGCCTCTCGAACTGAGCCAGAGAAACAGGTCAATGAAATCACTGCAAAACTCCAGGGCTGCGATGGTCACAGAGGCTGTGCTGGGCCAGGTCAGCCCAGGGCCCCAAGGAGGAGCTGCCCGGTGCTCATGCGTGCTTTGCCCACATCCTGCGAACCAGGAGGCTGTGAAGGCCTGAGAGTGAAGGTAGTCGGGGGACAGTGCAGGTCACTCATGCGGACTCTCGCCAAGAGGCCAGGAGAGGCGGCTGCCTGGTCCGAAGCACACTTCTGACTCTTCAGTTCACTACCAGTTCCCCTCCACAGAGTGGACTGTGCCTGCATTCATCAACAGGAGCTCCTGACCACACCAGGACCAGTGTCTGCATGCTCAGTGCTGACGAAGCCTGAGGTAGGGCAGCGGCTGGGTGGATGGAACGGATCTTAGAGGGTTATTGGGAAGAGGAAGATGTTTGTTACCAACTAGACTAGGAAGGAGGACTGGGGCAGGCAGAGGCTGAGGTGGTTTGTTGACGCTGTCCCAGGGCAGGTCCCAAGGCCTGAGCCGTGGTGCTCACAGTTTTGGTCTTGGGCCAGTTTTGCACTCTTAAAAGTTACTGAGGACCCCAAAGAGCTTGGCTTATGTGGGTTTTATCGTCGATATTTACCCTATTAGAAATTAAGACTGAGACAAATTTAAAAGTATTTATTAATTCATTTAAAAATAACAATAAATCCATTATGTGTTAATATATGTAACAAATATTCCAATATTTATGTTACGTTGATATTAGAGTGTAAATATGACAATACCACATCATGTAGCTGCAGGAAAATTCCACCCTGTGCTTGTGGCGCTCACCTCCGTAGTGTAACTGACAGACAGTGGGGCTGTGAGGTCACTGGGCAGAGCCTGTGCTGCCCAGGCTGAAGCCAGCCGTCTCCACGGTCCATGCCTAAAGCCTGAGAGGCCTGAGAGGCAGAGCAGACAGGTGGCTGGAGGGGCTGGTCGGGTCTGCTGGGTCTTCTCTCCTGAGACAGCACTTGGCCTCTGTGGCACTTGGCAAAACTACCCTGCAGCGCGCAGCCTGTGGCTCCGAGGTCTGTGATAACACACGTGTTTTATGAACTCCAGCGACTTCTGGCCCCAAGGGGACTTGGCTTGAATGAGGGTCCTGCTGGGTGGAGCAGGGTGGGTGGGGGGGTGAGGTGCATCCTGGATGGTGTTTCCATGGGACTCTGGCTGGCTCTGGGACCGCCGGCATCCTGGTCTGGGTGCCCGTGTGGTGCTGAGCCAGCACTCTCGGGGATCTCTGGGTGCTGCTTGGCTTCCACGGGTTGAGCCTCTGGGCACCTCCCTGGAGGACGTGACTGAGCATAACTTGGGATGGGAACAGCCTCAGGACAGCCTGAGACACTGTGGCTGATTCAGGCTGTTTCAGAACCAAGGAAGCTTGCTGCAGTGGGACAACCTCCCAGAGAGAGGACAGTCTTGGTGTCTTGGCTGACCACAGCCTGAAGGCACAAGCCCACCAAGGAGAGTGACATGCGGGGGTCCATCCTCAGTGTCTCGCCTCAGATCCTGGCTGCCCCTACTAGACCTCTTTCCCTGCAAGGCAGGTGGAGTGGCCAATGGTGGGAGCTGCACTCTTCACAGAAGAGGGAAAGGAAGTGCGGGATGGGGGCTACGGGAAGGACCCCTTCTTCTCCTGGCAGCTCTCCCCCAGACTGGTGGACTGCAGCTGTCCAGTGACATCCAAGGAGGCCAGAAGTGCCACTCAGCATGCGGGGGTGGGCACAGAGGACAATGACCTGTGTCAGAGCTGGGGGTGGGGGAGGCTTGGCATGGAGGCGCGTGCTAACTGGGAGGAGGGTCAGGAAGAAACAGGTAGAGAATGGACAAGCTGCAACTGAGAGGACTGGCACAGCAGCTGGCAAAAGCTGCCAGGGGAGGGGACCACGGAGCCAACACTTCCACAGCAGGGGCTCAGCTGCCAGGAGGGGGGGACCATGGAGCCAATATTACCATGGCAGGGGTTCAGCTTTCAGGAGGGGGGATCACGGGCCAACATTGCCATGAGAGGGGCTCAGCTTTCAGGACGGGGGATCACGGGCCAACATTGCCATGACAGGGGCTCAGCTACCAGGAGGGGGGCCCATGGAGGCAACATTGCCATGCAGGAATCAGCAGGGATCGGAAGCCTGGCAGGCAGAAGGCCCCAGGCGACTGTCAGAGAAGGACAGTGTCAAGAAGAAACCTGCTGCCCTGAACCCAGAGAGCCCTGACCTGGTGGGGAGGGTTCCCAAACCTGAGATTCTAAGGTGTGAATATGGGGAGAGGGCATCTTACCCAAAAGGACCCCAGAGCTGACTGAGACCACTTTGTCTCAATGTGACACCAAAAGCAAAAACAATAAAATAGACCAAATGGACGTTGTCAAAATCAGAACCTTTTGTATGTAAATGTTTCACCATTAAGAAAGTAAAAATTCAACCCACAGAAATATTCTGGCAGAAAATATTTGCTGATCAAATATCTTCAAAGGAACTTGCCTCCAGAACACAGAAAACACATGATCTCAGGATAGTGCACGTGGCTCATCACGGAACCACGCGCACCCCCACAGCTCCACAGTCTCAGGATAGTGCACCTGCTCATCACAGAACCAAGCGCACCCCCACAGCTCCACAGTCTCAGGATAGTACCTGCTCATCCACGGAACCAAGCGCATCCCCCACAGCTCCACAGTCTCGGGATAGTGCAACTGCTCATCATGGAACCAAGCGCACCCCCCACAGCTCCACAGTCTCGGGATAGTGAACCTGCTCATCACGGAACCAAGCGCACCCCCCACAGCTCCACAGTCTCGGGATAGTGCACCTGCTCATCATGGAACCAAGCTGCACTCCCCACAGCTCACCTGGGAGGTTTCCCTGGAGTACTTCTTACACAGACTGCCTATGCTCATGAAGAATGCCTGGATATCTGCGTCAGTCTGAAAGAGAAAGAAACAACTCTACATTTATTGCATCTAATAAATGCTTCAGGTCACCAGTTAAAAACTGTACTTCAAGACCTAGAATTAGCTGTAGATGACTCAAATGGCCAGTACATTGTGAATGGCCTCTCAGGGGCCCTGCCAGGCACAGCTTCGATCAGCAGGACAGTCCCTCGTCCTGGCCGCTTCCTTCTGAGGGCGGTGCCGGGCAGTGGTGAGGGCTGGGAGGCAGAGCCTGGTAGGCGCTGAGCTCCTCTGGGCTACGGCAAAGATATACTCCCTCCTCAAAAGGGTCTTAGCGAGGGCAGAAGGTCGCCATGAATGAAGGCCTCCAGCCCAGCCTCCTGCACAGTGGAGACACGCTAAAATCAGAAGGATGAAATAAGCTGACAAGCATTAAGTCACCACTATGTAGTCACAAGTACATGTCGAGTTATTTAAAAAGCAAGCGTAAGGACCTTAAGGAAGGATGCAGGTTTAAGAAACAGCATCTGGTAGGCCAGATGTGGTGGCTCACGTTTGTAATCTCAGCATTTCGGGAGGCTGAGGCAGGCGGATCACGAGGTCAGGAGATCGAGACCATCCTGGCTAACACGGTGAAACCCCGTCTCTACTAAAAATACAAAAAAGTAGCCGGGCGTGGTGGCAGGCGCCTGTAGTCCCAGCTACTCAGGAGGCTGAGGCAGGAGAATGGTGTGATCCCGGGAAGGTGGAGGTTGCAGTGAGCCGAGATCGCGCCACTGCACTCCAGCCTGGGCAACAGAGTGAGACTCCGTTTCAAAAAAAAAAAACAAAACAGCGTCTGGTTACTAGCCCTCATGCAGACGCTGCCAACTTCCTTCTCAAGTGCCTCCAGGGTGCCCTGCCTCGCCTCCCCAGACCCCTGGCCTTCCCTCACTTTCCCCACCAAGGACCACACTAGCACAAAATATCAGGTGACAGCTGTGCCAGGCATGGAGCTGCCGTGAACCAGAATCGCCTGAGGATTTCAAAGAAAAGGGCTCCTGCTTGTAATCCCAGTACTTTGGGAGACTAAGGTGGGCGGATTGCTTGAGGTCAGGAGTTCAAGACCAGCCTGGCCAACATAGTGAAACCCCATCTCTATCAAAAATACAAAAGTTACCTGGGCATGATGGCAGGTGCCTGTAATCCCAGCTACTTGGGAGGCTGAGGCAGAATCGCTTGAAACCGGGAGGTGGAGGTTGCAATGAGCCAAGATCATGCCATTGTACTCCAGCCTGGGTGACAGAGCGAGACTCCATCTCAAAACAAACAAACAAACAAACAAACCCCTCAAACACCAAAATCCAAAACCAAAAACAAAGAAAGGGGCAAACACCAGAATGACAAGATGTAGGAAGAACCTTGTGCCTCCTCCCATTCTGTGGTTCAGGACGGTGAGTGTGTAGAAGGTCAAGATGGTCATCTGAGCCCATCCACCTACCTACCACTGGCTCCCCAAATCCCACTGAAATGATAGTAAAATTTAGGAAAAAATACTCTACTTGTGGTAGAAAACAGGAAATGATACCCTGAATCAATCAGACTGAAGAATTCTAGAAGACAGTATAGACTGGCTTAGATCAGGGTTAAGGCACCAGCTCCAACACCCGGGGCAGGTGCAGATGAAGAGGTCCTGGAACCCACTCCAGAATCCATTCCCAGGTCCCCAGAGGCAGAGGCCAAGCAGAACATCCTGGAGGTGAGCTCCTCTGTAACGCGGGGACTCAAACCCAGTAGAGAGGTCAAGACCTGGCTCTGGCTTGGATGGGGTAGGAGCTCCTGTGTAACACCCTCCCATACATACCGAACAGCAAAGGCACAAGCAGTGTGTCCAATGGGACAGGGGTCACGAGCTCAGAGTCTGCCCTAAATCCAGCTCTGCACACCCTTGACCTGCAACCCTGCTTCTTCACCTAATTCCTCTGTGCCTTGGTCTCCCCATGTATAAAAGAGAAGCAGAAACAGCACCCCCTCAGGCCTGGCCATGGCAAGCAGCAGGTGACACAATACAGGAAAAGTGCCCCCAGCGGAGCATGGCCCATGTGAGTGCACAGGGAGCAGGGACTGTCACTATTATCTAAGGTACATTATAAATACACAGATGACTCAAAGACAAGACCAAGAGCTCCATGGACCAGAAATGGGAGCAACTGAAGAAGCTGTCACAGATCAATCTGGCTCCATGGCCTTCTGGGTAAGGGGGACTGGGTCATTCTACACATGACAGACACCCCAGAATGTCCAGAAGATGAGCTTAGAGACAGAACAGCCAAGAAGTCTACAAAACTAACTAATGGCATCATAGCACAGATGCACAGACCTCAGTGAGGCCTGGGCAGAACACAGGCAGCCATTCCTCCACCCCTGGCACCCATGTCGCAGAGAGCCGGCGATAAGCCAGGGCTGGAATTTTCAAAGTGCTAATTTTCAAGGTGCGTTCATTTTCAACAAAGAATTCTGAAGTCTGCGAAAATATACTTCAAGAAAAAGAGGCATTTTTAAAAAACAGAAACTGAAAATTTGTCACTAACAGCCCAGCACTAAAATAATAAAGGAATTCCCTGTAGGTAGGAAAAATAATTCCTGATAGAAGCACAGAGATTTGGGAGGCAGAGAGGAACAGGGAAGAGGGGGAAATGGGGGAAAATCTAAATAAATATTAGCTGTCCATGGTTGCACTGTATGGTGCGGCCTAGTGCAGTGAGAGCCAGTGTGGCTGGAGTAGCGGTGCGGGAAGGCCAGGAGAAGGGGGATTGGGTGAGAGCTGAGGCCCTCGCATCATCAGGAAAATTGAATTTACGTTAGACTTTTAAACGCCAAGATTGTTCGCACAATCCCTAGGAAAATCATAAACTAATGTTTTCTTTTTGTATTTAATTTTTAAAAGGTGGGTGTGTGCTCCACAATGGTACAGGAATGAGAATACACAGTTAAATCTCACAGCGTGACTGAAGGCCTTTGCTGCGTCTGACATTACCACAGCAGAGGGCGTAAAACTGGAGGAAACCAACGCCGGTGCAGAGCAATCAGTCCATGAGGCCCGAAGGCACAAGCAGACACGGGCGCACCACTGTGCGCGATCCACGGAGCTCTCCTCACGCAGCTGTAAAGGCGTGCTGTTGGTGACTCGCTGTCAGACACAGGAAAGGGGCACTGCAAAAGAGTGCTCTTATCATCACGAAGGCTGATTCAGCCACTGCAACTAGGCAGGAAGGGGGTTCTCTGGCTAGGAATGCTAGCCCTAATTTACCGTCTTGAAACACACACAGATTATACTGGCTGCAGCACGATACTCTCCTTGGGGTGCCAGGCTCACGCGGGATTTCCTTGCTGGAATCTTGGCTGTCAACACTGATTTCATCTTCTTTTGCTTGCTGCCTGCACAGACTTTACATGGCTTCAGAATTGTACCAGGCTTACTGCTTTCCCGTGATACTTCTAGGGTTAGGTCTTGTTTTGTGTTCCTATCAAACATTCTGAAATCACTGTAAGACCCAGTCACAACACTGTCAGATCCATTCCAACAACACGGAATTTGTCAGACTCATGGTCCTTTTCACACCGTGCACAGTTTACTTCCGAGCTACTCGTGCACCTGTTACATTTCCACAGGTATTTTCCATAATTTTTTTTTTTTTTTTTTTTTTTTTGAGATGGAGTCTCACCCTGTGGCCCAGGCTGGAGTGCAGGGGCAGAGTCTCGGCTCACCATAACCTCCACTCCCCAGGTTCAAGTGATTCTCCAGCCTCAGGCTCCCAAGTAGCTGGAATTACAGGCGTGTGCTACTGAGCCCGGCTAATTTTTGTTATTTTTAGTAGAGATGGGGTTTCTCCATGTTAGCCAGGCTGGTCTCAAACTCCTGACCTCAGGTGATCTGCCCGCCTCGGCTTCCCAAAGTGCTGGGATTACAGGTGTGAGCCACTGTGCCCGGCCATGTTTTCCATATTGAAGTTCTAACTTTTGACGAACAAATGGTCTCTATCATCATATTTGACCACTCTGGCTGAATTTTACATCAGAAATAAAGGAGATGATTTCAGACAAAAATGACCTGTTGCTGGAATCATCAGGTTCTTCAGCGTAGAATGCCTATCACAGAGGGCAGACACTCATGTCACATGAGCAAATAGTTCCTTTACTGCTGCTAGATACAGATGTGTTACAGCTGTTCAGATGGAATTCTGCAGCTGAAATCACCTGTTAGCTCTTCCATATTGTCAGGCTTGATATCTACAATATTAAAACTCCCATCTATAATTTTCAGATGCCAAAGACTTGTTTGTTTTTTTTTTTTTTTGAGACGGAGTCTCACTCGGTCACCCAGGCTGGAGTGCAGTGGCACGATCTCAGCTCACTGCAAGCTGTGCCTCCCAGGTTCACGCCATTCTCCTGCCTCAGCCTCCCGAATAGCTGGGTCTACAGGTTCCCGCCATCATGCCCGGCTAAGTTTTTGTATTTTTTAGTAAAGACGGGGTTTCACTGTGTTAGCCAGGATGGTCTCGATCTCCTGACCTCATGATCCACCTGCCTCGGCCTCCCAAAGTGCAGGGGATTACAGGCATGAGCCACCGCGCCCGGCCAAAGACCTGATTTTAATCTGCAAATCACCTGCAGATAAATATGTTTCAAAATCACTATTAACAGGAATTGAGTTGATGTGACAAGTATGAGCGTTGGCAGATGCTCTTTGTGGAGCAAAAGACTGGCACTCACAGTGCAGTAGCCGGGTAGCATCTCTACACACTCCATCTTCCTCTTCAAGTTATATCCTTCTGGTCTTTCGTACCTTTCACTGATTTTCCATAATTGTATTGTTTTATTTTATTTTATTTTATTTTTTTTTGAGACGGAGTCTCGCTCTGTCGCCCAGGCTGGAGTGCAGTGGCGGGATCTCAGCTCACTGCAAGCTCCGCCTCCCAGGTTCACGCCATTCTCCTGCCTCAGCCTCCCGAGTAGCTGGGACCACAGGCGCCTGCCACCTCGCCCGGCTAGTT